TGTTAGCTCTTGGTAAACTGCAGGACCTGTAATGAAATAGACATCCCCATCATCACATATATTGCTAAGCCTCTGTACATAATAAGTTGAATAATCCCCATGATACAGACCTCGGTCTCTGTCCTACGTGCTGCACTGACTGGCTGTGTGATAGAGAGCTGGCTGCTGAGACATGATCCTCTAATTATTTCCATGCGCTGAGGCCAATCTGCACGTATTGCCAATGCAGTAAAAAGCAACTGGATATCTAATACTAGCCTGCTGCCTGTTATATCATGAACGGTTTTATTGTGCCATCCAGCAATTAAATTAGATCGGTTATACTGTGTGTAATGTCGTAGACATAAGTGTTAGCTACAGTTACACAGGATTATGCTTTCCGCACGTACACCGTGTGAAACAATCATCACCGGGTCATTGTGCATTTCCTGGAAGAAACCTCTTTGCCTGATTAATGGTGGTTTCAAGCTAACTTATTCTTGAATGGTAACTTTAAGCCAGGTTAACTGCCTTGCAGAGAAAATGCTGCTCTACGCTCCCTCCAGTGCTGCTGACCTAACCAAGAGCCTAGGAATTTGGTCATGTGGCTCTTGCTAACCTGGCAGAGATCATGTGATCAAAAGTCTAAACCAGGCATAGCCATGGCTGTCCCTATAATAAGGGAGCCTGAGGCCTCAGGTGGCATCTCATTAGGTCATTGTGTCCCAGGTTGCTCACTGACGTCGCTGGTTGCCAAGAGCTGGGCGGGGTACTTGCTCCAAATCCCCCCACCAGGAGCCGCCAGCAACCCCCAGAAGTGCACTGAGAGTAACTAACCCACCTCTATCACCACCACCTGGAACGTGCATCATAAGATCCCAGCCCACCCCAATCCCGCCCTCAGCAGGCAACACATCTAGGGAAGTCAAGGTTTCCCAGCAGAACATTGGCCAAAGCTGTGATGCTCTGTGTGTTCAGACACCTTTCTATCATAACCATCATTCACTTTCTTAGCAATTTGAGCTAAAGTAGCCTTGCCTTTGGATCAGACTACATCAGACAACAACGTTCCCCACGTGCATCAATTTGTCTTGTTCACCCATGACCTTGTCGCTGGTTCATCAATTTTCCATCCTTGCACCACTTTTGGTCGGTCCTGACCACTGCAGACCGGGAACATCCCACAAGAGCTGCAGTTTTGGAGTTGCTCTGACCCAGTCGTCTACACATCACAGTTTGGCCCTCGTCAGAGTCCCTCAAATCCTGACACTTGTCCATTTTGTCTGCTTCCAACACATCAACTTCAGGGACACAAGGTTCACTTGTTGCCTAATATATCCCTCCCACTTCCAGGTGCCATTGTAATATATGCCCCCCTCCCCTCCCCGGGCCCTTTCCAAATTTCCCCCCCCCCTTCCAGGGGCCATTGTAATATATGCCCCCCTCCCCTCCCCGGGCCCTTTCCAAATTTCCCCCCCCCCTTCCAGGGGCCATTGTAATATATGCCCCCCTCCCCTCCCCGGGCCCTTTCCAAATTTCCCCCCCCCCTTCCAGGGGCCATTGTAATATATGCCCCCCTCCCCTCCCCGGGCCCTTTCCAAATTTCCCCCCCCCCTTCCAGGGGCCATTGTAATATATGCCCCCCTCCCCTCCCCGGGCCCTTTCCAAATTTCCCCCCCCCCTTCCAGGGGCCATTGTAATATATGCCCCCCTCCCCTCCCCGGGCCCTTTCCAAATTTCCCCCCCCCCTTCCAGGGGCCATTGTAATATATGCCCCCCTCCCCTCCCCGGGCCCTTTCCAAATTTCCCCCCCCCCTTCCAGGGGCCATTGTAATATATGCCCCCCTCCCCTCCCCGGGCCCTTTCCAAATTTCCCCCCCCCCTTCCAGGGGCCATTGTAATATATGCCCCCCTCCCCTCCCCGGGCCCTTTCCAAATTTCCCCCCCCCCTTCCAGGGGCCATTGTAATATATGCCCCCCTCCCCTCCCCGGGCCCTTTCCAAATTTCCCCCCCCCCTTCCAGGGGCCATTGTAATATATGCCCCCCTCCCCTCCCCGGGCCCTTTCCAAATTTCCCCCCCCCCTTCCAGGGGCCATTGTAATATATGCCCCCCTCCCCTCCCCGGGCCCTTTCCAAATTTCCCCCCCCCCTTCCAGGGGCCATTGTAATATATGCCCCCCTCCCCTCCCCGGGCCCTTTCCAAATTTCCCCCCCCCCTTCCAGGGGCCATTGTAATATATGCCCCCCTCCCCTCCCCGGGCCCTTTCCAAATTTCCCCCCCCCCTTCCAGGGGCCATTGTAATATATGCCCCCCTCCCCTCCCCGGGCCCTTTCCAAATTTCCCCCCCCCCTTCCAGGGGCCATTGTAATATATGCCCCCCTCCCCTCCCCGGGCCCTTTCCAAATTTCCCCCCCCCCTTCCAGGGGCCATTGTAATATATGCCCCCCTCCCCTCCCCGGGCCCTTTCCAAATTTCCCCCCCCCCTTCCAGGGGCCATTGTAATATATGCCCCCCTCCCCTCCCCGGGCCCTTTCCAAATTTCCCCCCCCCCTTCCAGGGGCCATTGTAATATATGCCCCCCTCCCCTCCCCGGGCCCTTTCCAAATTTCCCCCCCCCCTTCCAGGGGCCATTGTAATATATGCCCCCCTCCCCTCCCCGGGCCCTTTCCAAATTTCCCCCCCCCCTTCCAGGGGCCATTGTAATATATGCCCCCCTCCCCTCCCCGGGCCCTTTCCAAATTTCCCCCCCCCCTTCCAGGGGCCATTGTAATATATGCCCCCCTCCCCTCCCCGGGCCCTTTCCAAATTTCCCCCCCCCCTTCCAGGGGCCATTGTAATATATGCCCCCCTCCCCTCCCCGGGCCCTTTCCAAATTTCCCCCCCCCCTTCCAGGGGCCATTGTAATATATGCCCCCCTCCCCTCCCCGGGCCCTTTCCAAATTTCCCCCCCCCCTTCCAGGGGCCATTGTAATATATGCCCCCCTCCCCTCCCCGGGCCCTTTCCAAATTTCCCCCCCCCCTTCCAGGGGCCATTGTAATATATGCCCCCCTCCCCTCCCCGGGCCCTTTCCAAATTTCCCCCCCCCCTTCCAGGGGCCATTGTAATATATGCCCCCCTCCCCTCCCCGGGCCCTTTCCAAATTTCCCCCCCCCCTTCCAGGGGCCATTGTAATATATGCCCCCCTCCCCTCCCCGGGCCCTTTCCAAATTTCCCCCCCCCCTTCCAGGGGCCATTGTAATATATGCCCCCCTCCCCTCCCCGGGCCCTTTCCAAATTTCCCCCCCCCCTTCCAGGGGCCATTGTAATATATGCCCCCCTCCCCTCCCCGGGCCCTTTCCAAATTTCCCCCCCCCCTTCCAGGGGCCATTGTAATATATGCCCCCCTCCCCTCCCCGGGCCCTTTCCAAATTTCCCCCCCCCCTTCCAGGGGCCATTGTAATATATGCCCCCCTCCCCTCCCCGGGCCCTTTCCAAATTTCCCCCCCCCCTTCCAGGGGCCATTGTAATATATGCCCCCCTCCCCTCCCCGGGCCCTTTCCAAATTTCCCCCCCCCCTTCCAGGGGCCATTGTAATATATGCCCCCCTCCCCTCCCCGGGCCCTTTCCAAATTTCCCCCCCCCCTTCCAGGGGCCATTGTAATATATGCCCCCCTCCCCTCCCCGGGCCCTTTCCAAATTTCCCCCCCCCCTTCCAGGGGCCATTGTAATATATGCCCCCCTCCCCTCCCCGGGCCCTTTCCAAATTTCCCCCCCCCCTTCCAGGGGCCATTGTAATATATGCCCCCCTCCCCTCCCCGGGCCCTTTCCAAATTTCCCCCCCCCCTTCCAGGGGCCATTGTAATATATGCCCCCCTCCCCTCCCCGGGCCCTTTCCAAATTTCCCCCCCCCCTTCCAGGGGCCATTGTAATATATGCCCCCCTCCCCTCCCCGGGCCCTTTCCAAATTTCCCCCCCCCCTTCCAGGGGCCATTGTAATATATGCCCCCCTCCCCTCCCCGGGCCCTTTCCAAATTTCCCCCCCCCCTTCCAGGGGCCATTGTAATATATGCCCCCCTCCCCTCCCCGGGCCCTTTCCAAATTTCCCCCCCCCCTTCCAGGGGCCATTGTAATATATGCCCCCCTCCCCTCCCCGGGCCCTTTCCAAATTTCCCCCCCCCCTTCCAGGGGCCATTGTAATATATGCCCCCCTCCCCTCCCCGGGCCCTTTCCAAATTTCCCCCCCCCCTTCCAGGGGCCATTGTAATATATGCCCCCCTCCCCTCCCCGGGCCCTTTCCAAATTTCCCCCCCCCCTTCCAGGGGCCATTGTAATATATGCCCCCCTCCCCTCCCCGGGCCCTTTCCAAATTTCCCCCCCCCCTTCCAGGGGCCATTGTAATATATGCCCCCCTCCCCTCCCCGGGCCCTTTCCAAATTTCCCCCCCCCCTTCCAGGGGCCATTGTAATATATGCCCCCCTCCCCTCCCCGGGCCCTTTCCAAATTTCCCCCCCCCCTTCCAGGGGCCATTGTAATATATGCCCCCCTCCCCTCCCCGGGCCCTTTCCAAATTTCCCCCCCCCCTTCCAGGGGCCATTGTAATATATGCCCCCCTCCCCTCCCCGGGCCCTTTCCAAATTTCCCCCCCCCCTTCCAGGGGCCATTGTAATATATGCCCCCCTCCCCTCCCCGGGCCCTTTCCAAATTTCCCCCCCCCCTTCCAGGGGCCATTGTAATATACCCCCTCCACTTCCAGGTGCCTGATTGTCCAGAAAGCCGGCTCCATGTTTTCTCGTCACCTAGTGGCGAGAAGCATGGGGACGGCTTCCCTGCTAATCGGGAAGCCGGACGGCGAGTCTTTACACACCGCCTGCCTGGCTTCCTGAATGGGACTTCCGGTATCGGTATTCGTTATCGGCGAGTACTGGGGAAAAAAATATTGGTGCTCGTACTCAATACCAAAAAAACGGTATCGGTGCATCTCTAGTCAAAATGTCTTAGTACTTAGTTCTTTTTACATGTTATCCGTTTTTTTTTTGCAGGAGAGAAATATGAACTCCACGCGGGAACAGACTCCACCCCCAGCGTCGTAGTCCACTCAGTGTTATCCCTGCCCCCTCATGACACAGATTTATATCCTTCTCTTCCTTTAGAAAATAGAATTTTTTTTCTTTTTTCATTTTTATAGGGAGACAAAAGCTACACGGTAATATTAGCGTGTTGTTGTGACTATTATGAAAGCGTGCCCCCTTCTCATTTATCATTGTGTCTGCGGGAAGAATGTTGTCACAGTCAGGTGGCTGCACATAGCAAACCATAAGGTACGCCCTATGTGATCTCCGCCGTATCTGATCCGCCCAATGTGGTCTACTGTATGTGGTCCGCCGTATCTGGTCCGCCCCAAGGTGGTCCACCACATCTGGTCCGCGATATGTGGTCCACTGTATCTGACCAGCCCTATGTGGTCCCCTGTATCTGACCAGCTCAATATGGCCCACTGTATCTGGCCAGCCGCATTTGGTTCACCATATCTGGTCTACCCTATGTGGCCCACCATAGATGGTCCACCCTATGTGGTCCGCTGTATCTGATCTGCCCTATGTGGTCAACTGTATCTGGTCCGCTCTATGTGGTCCACCGTATCTAATCCACCCTATGTGGTTCAACCGTATCTGAACTCCCTTATGTGGTCCACCGTATCTGGTCTGCCCTATGTGGTCCACCGTATCTGGTCTGCGCTATGTGGTTCACCGTATCTGGTCTGCCCTATGTGGTTTACCATATCTGAACTCCCTCATGTGGTCCAACTTATTTGGTCCGCCCTATGTAGTCCACCGTATCTGATTTGCCTTATGTGGTCCACTGTATCTTGTCTGCCATATGTGGTCCGCAGTGCATCATGGGTGGCAGAAAAGAAGACTGATGGCTAAGAGTAGCGCATTGGCTGTATATCTGTGTTGCCATTCATTCTTAACCCTTTCCAGCCGTTGGGAGCCAGCCCTTCAAACGGTCCTAACGCCAGAGGCGTTACATGGGCGTTCTTGTGATCACTGTAATTGGCTGTCACAGTGATCACGTGATCTGGAGCCCATCCCACCAGCTTCTGATCATGTCCAAGAGCTGTCAATGATTCTGAGGGCGCCGAGTGAGTGCGCTCCGAGCAACAAACAAAGGCTGTACGTATCTATATGGCAGCACAACATTAAAGCACACCACCATATGAGTACAGCCGGCGGGAAGGGGTTCGTGGCACCCCAACACATATATACAATCAGGGCCTGTTCCCACTATGTCATTCCGATGTGTTGTCAACCAAAATAGACCAATCGGATGCCAATGCAACAGAATGGACATTGCCAATGAAGGATCAGCCCTAACGCAGTGCTCATCGACCTGCAAAAACGTGTTTGTTAATGTGCACAGGTTATTGCGCTGAGCTCAAATGTCTCCCCCAGACACAATGATGTAGATTCAGGTTCTCCGGGTCTCATTAATAAAACGGAGAACGCCGGTCCGGATAAAATTTACCGGTTTCTTTGAACTCGGTGATTGTTTAGCCGGCGGTGAGCTGTGCCGAGCTCACACAATAACCTCCGCAGTGTGTCAGCATCAGATACACTTAACTAGCCCCCCAGCTCGCTCCATTGGCGATATGCTTTTCGTTTTGTCGCAAGTCCCTCTCACAACCAGCGATAGAGGCAACGTATCCCAAAAAAAAGAGTATTTTTCATTGTTCCGTCCAATGTGTGCACATCAGTTTACAATGGAACAGCCGCGAGGTACCGTCACCCCCCATCCAGGGATTCCATGGCGTCTTTCTGTTCTTGGTCACAGCGGTTCACTATATAGAGAGGTTTCCAGTTAGGTCACACGACATACAATGTGATTGTACAATCTCTGCACAGGTAAGTAATCCCAACCCCATCACTGCAACAGGAACAAGAAGAAATCTCTCCAACAGAGACACTAACAAAAACAATGTATAGAGTTAGTCTGCGTCCTGCTGAGGGGATTCCCCTTGACTTCCTGCCCTTGGGGCACCCAACTTGGACAGACAGCGGTAGAGACGTGCTCATCTTTCAGCGCCTTTTTCTAGGAAGTAGATTCCACTCCATGCAGCTGTGTATGATCGCACGTTTCAAGCTACTTTGTTGTAAAACATAAAAAAAAAGTAGAAGCAAATCACGTACCTGTCCCAGCACCCAGACCTGTGATCTTCTGTGTCCTGCAGAGTTATACCAGCTGAAGAATCTTCAACATCCTACACTTCCTGGAGTGTCGCATTCCTGGTCCTCCACGCTGTGGTTGCTTCCGGCGGCTGCTACTATAGTAGTCATGCATAGAGGATCACATCGGGTGGTGGGGGAGATCAGAAGCATGCCGGATGCTAAAAGTTATTTAGCAGGAAAAGCTCTTAAAGAGACTCTTTAGCATCCGCCTCCCCACTGCCTGCTGTGGTTGCTTCCACCAGCTGCTACTGTGCTCATTAGGGGTCAGCAGAAGGAACCACAGCAGGCAGTGAGGGGCCAAGCATTGAACCCTCATGGAAGTGTGTCAGAGGCTTAAGATTCTTGAGCTGGAGAAGCTCTTGAAGGGAGAGATGAGCTGAAGCAGATGAAGAATCATCAGCATCCGCCACCCCCCACTGCCTGCTGTGGTTGCTTCCACCGGCTGCTACTGTAGTCGTATATATAGAGGCCAGCAGAAGGAACCACAATTGGCAGTGAGGAGCCAGGCATCAGACATTTCTCGAAGTGTGTCAGATGCTTAAGAGTAAACAACTGAGCTGCAGCAGCTAAAGAATCCTCAGCATCCAACACAATCCCACTGCCTGTGGTTTCCACCAGCTGCAATTGTAGTCAATGGTAGGGACCAGAGGAAGGAACCACAGCGGGCAGTGGGGAACCTGGCATTGGACCTTCCTGGAAGTGTATGAGATGCTTAAGATTCTTCAGCTGGAGAAGCTCTTAAATAGAGTGAAGAAATTAGTCCTCAGCATCCAACACCCCCCATGCTGTGGTTGCTTCTGCCAGCTGCTACTGCAGTCGTGCATTGGGGCCAACGGAAGGAACCACAATGGGCAGTGGAGGACCAGGCACCGGACCTTCTTGGAAGTGTGTCAGATGCTACACATCTTTCATCTGGAGAAGTTAATGAAGAAGAATCCTAAGCTGAGCTGGAGTAGCTAAACAATCTTCAGCAATCAACACCCCCCACTGAAAACTGTGGTTGCTTCCACTGGCTGCTACTGTGGTCAATACGTAGGGGCCAGCAGAAGGAACTATAGCAGGCAATTAGGGCACCAGGCATCAGACACTTCCAGAAGTGAGTCCCATGCTATGGATTCTTCAGCTGGAGAAGATATTGAAGAGAGTGAAGATCTGAGCAGCAACAGATAAAGAATCCTCAGTATCTGACACATCCCCACTGCCTGCTGTGGTTCCACCCGCAGAAGGAAATACAGCGGGCAGTGGGAGCCAGGTACTGGACCCTCCTGGAAGTGTGTCACATGCTAAAGATTCTTCAGCGGGAGGAGCTTTTGTAAAAAGCGTTAAGAAATTAGCTGCAGCAGCTAAAGAATCCTCAGCATCCAACACCCCCCATTGCAGGCTGTGGTTGCTTCCGTCGGCTGCTACTGTAGTCATACATAGGAGCCAACAGAAGGAACCACAGTGTTCACGGGAGGGGGGGGACTGGGCAGCCAACACTTCAGGAGTGTTGGATTCCTGGTCTACTATTGCACATTGTGGTTCCAACTGCTGACTGTTACTGTAGAATACAGAGGGGCCAGTTGAAGGAGTCACAGCTGGCATTCGGGGACCAAGCACTGGACCCTCCTGGAAGTGTGTCAGATGGTTAAGATACTTCCTCTGGAGAAGCTCTTGAAGAAAGAGAAGATCTGCGCTGCAGCAGCTGAAAGATATTCATCATCCAGCACATCACCCCCTGTGCGAGCTGTGGTTGCTTCCTCTGGCCCCTATCCCAGTACTGTAGCAGATGGAAGAAACCACATTGAGCAGTGAGGGGATCAAGCCAGACGTGTGCGATTCGTTTCGCTCCAAATACAAATTCGTACGAATTTTCCGAAATTTGGACACATCCGAATTTCTGAATCCGAATGCGTCCGAATCCGAATTTCCGTTTCTAAATTTCAGATCCTGTCTGAATTTCGTTCAAAAACAAAACTGAATCGAACATGTGACTTTTCTGGCCAATCAGATGTGTTTTTTGGTTTCGTGCATCCGAATGGGTCTGAATACGAATTTCCGTTACGGCAACATGGGAACCAGATACAGTATATACATATCATACTAAAGCCGAGACTCCTAGACCCAAATGACATTCAGGATCCGAATCTCCGAAAGGCATCCAGGAGTAAGGATGGGCTTGGGCGCGTTCGCAACTCCACGTGCCGAGCCCGTCAGGAAGCTGACAGCGCCAATCACAGGTACTGAGACATTTCCCAATTTATGCAGCTGCGGACCGGGAAAATGTCTCAGTTCCTGTGATTGGCGCTGAGCGCTGTTAGCTTCATGGCGGGCTCGGCACATGGAGCTGCGAACACGCCCGAGTTCTTGTTAGGAGCTCCCAAATGCCATTCGGGTCTGGGATCCTCAGCTTTAATATGGCTCCAAGACCCGTGTTGCTTTCTGGAGCTCCCGAATAGTATTCAGAAATTCGGATCCCGAATGGCATTCGGGTCTGGGAGCCCTATACGTATATTACTAAAGCTGAGGCTCCCAGACCCGAATGGCATTCAGGAGCTCCCCAATGCAATTTGGATCCTGAATGCCAGTGGGGTCTGGGAGCCTCAGCTTTAGTATTAATATCTGTATTTGGTTTTCTGTGGTATACGCAACGAATATTCGCAAACTAACGAAAATTTGGATTTCGTCCCAAACCGAATTGAATTTTGGATCTGAAATAACAAAATATCCGAATCGAATGTTTCCGCAGCTTACATGTCTAGATCAGACACTTCTGGGAGTGTCGAATTTGAAAGGGTTCTCAGCTGGTGTAGCTCTGCCAGAGAGGGAAGACCCGAGGCACGCACAGGTACTAGGACCGGTATGTATGATGCCTCTTCCTTTACCGAGGACTTTTGGGGTCACTTTCGATGTCTGTGTAGCTCGGGGAACGTCCGCCTGTCCCGTCTTTGTTGGATATCGTATTTAGCGCACTTTGCTACACTGTAACACTTGATCCATTTGTTGCGCCCATCATCCATGTAACGAATGGCGAGTCTCGCCCCCACCCCAGATCCTTCTACTAGGAGAGTTTCCGTATCTAGTGATGACTCCGTAGTCATCCTAGA